TGTTGGAGTGAAATATAGCAAGACTTGCATTGGCTACTCAAAGTTAGTAGCCAGTGGTCATTGGGTTAATATTAATTTTGCTATTGGTTATTTTTTGTTTATAATAATTTATTTTGATTTATTGTATAAGCCTTCCTAGATAATTTTATAATTTTGAAACTTGGGCTAGTAATTTGAATTTTATATTTCTACACATTTTATATCTTTCTTAAATAAATTCGAATAATCCATTTGTCATCTATGTTCTGTGGATGGTGTAATTATATTTTCTCATTTTATATAAAGATTTTTATATGCATCTTGTATATCTAATTTTTGATAGATACTACTGAAATTAACTTGTTTTGTTATTATATCAATCTTTTTGAAATTTATTTTCAATGCTTTGTTATTATTTGAATTATCATTACTTTTATACATATTTTTTATTTTGTAGATTAATCTATTTATGTGGTAAAATGTTCTGGAATTCTAGTTTTTATGCCTGCTGTTTCTATAAAATCTATTTTATCTATTATGGTATAAATATGATTGTTCTCTAGCAGTAGTTTGTATACAGGAATAAAAAAATGCAACTAATACATGTTTTTTTACATTTTTCTCTTCAAATTTAATATTTAAATTTGCCTCCTACAATGTATACATTTTTAATTTTATTTTCACTTAAAAAATGTATAGTAATTAATGTTAGCTTGTATACTATACTGATGCTACAGTATTATAATTGGTATTTGTATACATACAATGTATGCTTACTATTTCAATTGTTATCAATTCAGTAATTACTTCTTGTACACTTATTTCATTATTTACAAATACTGTAGTACCTCCAGATTTATTATGGTCACTAACTTTATGAAGTTTAACTTTTCATTTTTTCCAAAGTTTCCATAAGGGCTATATGTATTTTCTGTGGAATTAGCTGTAAATAAATAATATAAAGATCAAAATTCTTATTTAGACAACATATATTCATTTGCATGTTTGAAGTAACGAAGATGTTATTTATATACGGATTATCAATTCACGAAACTCTATTTAACATAACTTAAAACATATTTGTTGTTTTAATGCTATCATATAATTCAATTAAATATTGTTCACTATTAATTCTTAACTTTTCATTTTCTGAATTTCTTACTATAATTTTTCTTTAATTTAGATAAACTTGTTATTTTTAGTTATTGGTAAAAGTTTTTTTGTATTTCGGGTATAAAATGTTCATTTATGAATACTAGACCTTCTTTATAATTCACATTAATGCCTGTCATTTTAATTATTTTTTTCACTCCATGCTCAAACCATTTGTTTTTAAGTTCTTTGTTCAAAAATTGTACGATAATTTTCGTAGTTTCTTTGAATATCTTAATCTTTTATGTTGATATTAACAGTGTTTACAACTTCCTGAATAATTTCTCTGATATTCTCTCTTCATACTTCTGGTACTCCTTGAATTTCAATATTTATATTTCATAAATACTATTGAAGGTCAGTTACTTGCTTTTTTAAGATGTTGATTTCCTGTTGAATGCTCTTGGTTTGTAATACAAGTTCCTGATTTTTAGTTTCCTTAATGACATCATTTTATAGATTCATCAATTTTATTTGAACAAAAGTCTATTTATCATTGAAGATCACTCATTTCAAATTTAATTTTGAGAAATTCACTGTCTTATTTAACATTCCTTCTGTTTATTTATTTCCTGTGTATCCATTTTTATTTTATCAAGGTATTCAAACATTTTACTTTTATTAATATTATCAAGTTGTCCCAAATTTCCATGTCCTTCACAGTCACCTTGACTTGTTTTAGCACATTTAAAATTACTTAAGGTTGAAACTACAACTGGCTTAGAGCTTTTCT